CTTCTCTCCTGCACGTTCAGACGCTGGCATGCCCTGCGTCTGGGACATTCAGGTGAGCTAGGTGGGGACTCTGGCCTTGAGGTGTCTCCAAGTGGGGGTGCTGGCCCAGGCTCTGGACCAGACTCTTCCTCCGACTGAACCTCAGTCTCTTTGCCTTGCTGCCACTCTTTTGGGCTGACTCCAGAGGAGGCTGGGTTGCTCTGTGCCACTTCCTCATCTGAGGAACAGTCAGCCTCAGTGGAGTCAGGACCTACAACAGGTGTCCACAGACTCAAAAAGGTTGGGGACCCCTGTTCTACCCCAAAGGGCATGACTCCCAGGCCGCCTTGAGTCCCCCCATCTTCTTTTCTTTTGGAAGGACCTCAGGTGCTCCAGGCGAGCCCGTGCTTAGAATGCTGAGCATAGCCAGTCACATCTGCACTCCAAGACCAGAGGCTTTGGGATTTCCCCCCCCCTTTTAAAAATTTTTATGTGTGAGTGTGTGCACGTGCATGCATGTGTGCATGTACCTGGAAGTCATGGCGACCTCTGGTGACTGACCCCTACTGGGGGCCTAGGAGATAGAGAGGTGGCTGAATACAGCCTGCCCCCGCCTCCTGACTGCTGGTATTCTTTGGAGGTCTCCCATCCAAGTACTTGCCAGAGTCGACCCTGCTTAGCTTCTGAGATCTGATGAGTTCGAGCTTGCCTGGGCTATCCAGGTCAGGGTGCTTAGGCGCTTTCTTGACCTCCCACCCCCACACTGGGGAGAAGTTATGGCTCTGTCCTAGAGCATCTGCTTGGTGTGCAGAAGGTTCTGGGTTCAATCCCCCGAATCTCCAGTTGAAAGGATCAAGTAGGAGGTGATATGAAAGACCTCCGACAGCCACTGGACAGCCACTGTCGGTCTGCGTAGACAGTAAAGGTAAAGGTTGTGAAAGACCTCCGATTGAGACCCTGGACAGCCACTGTCTGTCTGCATAGACAGTAAAGGTAAAGTTGTAGGTTCCCTTGCTCGAAAGCCAGGCGAATCCGACTCTAGGGATGCAGTGCTCATCTCCGTTTCAAAGCCAAAGAGCCAGCGCTGTCTGAAGACGTTTCCGTGGTCATGTGGCTGGCGTGACTAAACACCAAGGCTCACAGAACGCTGTTACCTTCCCACCAAAGTGGTCCCTATTTATCTACTTGCAATTTCTTGCTTACGAACTGCTAGGTTGGCAGGAGCTGGAACTAGAGATGGGAGCTCACTCCATCATGCGGCACCCGGGTCTCGAACTGCTGAACTACTGACCTTCCACAGCCTGCAGTTCAGCGACTTAACCACTTGAGCCACCGCAGCTCCACGAGTAGACAGTACTCATACCTTGACAGAGCCAGCGGTCTGATTCAGTGCAGCTTCTGAGAGCCAGTTTGGTGTAATGGTTAAGTGTGCGGACTCTAATCTGGGAGAACCGGGTTTGATTCCCCACTCCTCCACTTGCATCTGGCTGTATGACCTTGGGCAAGCCGTAATTCTGACAAGAGCTGTCCTTGAAAAAGAGCAGTTTCTGTCAAGAGCTCTCTCAGCCCCACCTACCTTACGGGGTGTCTGCTGTGGGGAGGGAGAGGGAAAGGAGTTTGTAAGCCGCTCTGAGACTCCCTTGGGTAGTGAAGGGTGTGGTATGAATCTAATCTCTTCTTCTTCTTCATGTGTTCACACACGAGAGTATCTGAATTGCTTCCATGAATCAGACAGCAAACAGCACACTGTTCCAAGCAAATCATGGATTCCCACCTGCTAACATTCATGGCTGAACTAATACGGGTGTTTCCCTGTATAGATTGCTTTTCTAAAATTGGTTTCGAGTGCAAGTGTCGGACCTCAAATGGATGGAATCTATATCCCGTCTCTTTCCTGCTCTCTGTTCCACAGTAACAGCACAGTGGAAATAGCACACAAGAGACCCAAAGGCAGTTTTGAGGGTATATATACCATCGTTAAACTGACTTAACAGTAATTTCCTCTCCCACGAGAACCGTGGGACCTGTACTTTGGAGAGGGATTGCTAGCTATTTCTAGCAGAACTCTTACCACTGCTTTCCAACTACAGCTCCGGTAACTTCGGAAAGGGAAGTCGCGGCAGTTAACTGTGATAAAACTAACAGAAATGTAGACGCAGCCTCGGTGATTCTAGTGTCCTGGCCCCACTGCTGGACCTCCTGGTGGCACCTGGTATTTTTGGCCACCGTGTGACAGAGTGTTGGTCTGGATGGGCCATTGGCCTGATCCAACATTGGTGTCTCTTATGTTCTTATAAGAGGGAACTGGATAAGCATATGGAGCAGAGGTCCTTCAGTGGCTATTAGCCAGAAGGTATAGATAGGAACTCTCGGTCTGGGGCAAGGGATGCTCTGTATTCTTGGTGCCGGGGGGGGCAACAGTGGGAGGGCTTCTAGTGTCCTGGCCCCACTGCTGGACCTCCTGAGGGCACCTGGTATTTCTGGCCACTGTGTGACACAGAGTGTTGGACTGGATGGGCCATTGGCCTGATCCAACATTGGCGTCTCTTATGTTCTTATGATTTATGTGTAAAAGGTCTTCGCTGGGCCTTTGGTGTAGAGGCTGAGCTATAAATCTGGATTTTGCCTTGGAGTCACCAGGCAGCCTCAGGCAAATGGTTGCTTCTCCGAGCCAGCTGACCAAATGTCTGAGATAGGAAAATAACAACAGAGTGACCTACATTCCGGGTTCACTGTAAGCGCTGAAGGAAAGATAATGCACATACAAGTGCTAAGTATTAGATGAGCACGGTATTTTTGTATTATTTTATGTATATCCCACCTTTCCCCCCCAAAGTAGCTTACATTATCTTCCTCACCTCCATTTTATCCTCACAAGTACCCTGCAAGGTAGATTAGGCTGAGGCTTCCATGGCACAGTGAGGATTCGAACCTGGGTCCCCCAGATTCTGGTCTGACCACTACACTACACTGGCTGTCAAAAAAAAAGAATCAACATAGAAGTACATACTGTATGAATAGCTGGTAATAATAATAATTAGCGTATGGCAGTGTGTGTAGTATAGCCAGGGGATCCTAAGTTTGTCTGGCAGTCAGACGTTCTAGCTGTTTTAGTGTTATGCACCACTAGGTGGCAAGCTGGACTTGTTTTCTAAGGGATGTTTCAGAGGTGGTTTGCCATTGCCTGCCTCTGAATCACGACCAGTGTTCCCTCTAAGCTGAGTGAGTGTGAGCCAGCTCACAGTTTTTTAGCCCCCAGCTCACACATTTTTGTCTTAGCTCAGGAAGGGGGGGCTCCAGAGCAAACTCATTTATGCAGCAGCCAAATCGCTCGCTCACAACTTTAATGCCAGGACGTCACCAAGTAGAATTTTTGCTCACGAGACTCCACGGCTCAGAGGGAGCATGCGTCACGACTCTGGTATTCCCTGGAGGTCGCCCTTCCAAATACTGTCCAGGGACGACCCTGCTTAGCTTCCGAGATCTGACGAGATCAGGCCATCCTTGGTCCTTCAGGTTCGGCATGGGACTCAAAGCGAACTGCTAGTTCCAACCCACATTTTAACTATTTATTTATATTCATTTACTTAATTTATAGCGCCCCTTTCTCCCCTCTGGGGACCTAAAGTGGCTGATATCGCTCTCTCCACTGCTTTATCCTCGCAACAACCCTGTGAGGGAGGTTAGTTTCTCCACCTCCTCCGGGAAGCTTTTGGCAGCTTCCACGGGCGGGGGGTTCAAGAGGGCCCCCTTGAGACTCTCCGGCCTCTTTGGTGCCCCAGAGGAGACGTCACTCTTCATATCCGCTTCTGGGGGGTGGGCAAGGCCGCATTCAGGAGTCCATTGCGACATGGGAAACCGCAGGGGAGGCCTGGGGCAGAGACAGGAACGAGACAGGGGTCACCTGCTGAAGAGGTCAGCCCTTTGTTTTCAGTACAAACACTTCAGGCGCTGCCCACGTGGGCAGGGTGCGAATGGCAACCAGGACACTTCCTGCCCAAGAGTCAAGGCAGGCCTGCTTGCATTTCTGGACACTCCCTTACCCCTAAGGGAAAGCACCGCCGTCCGTGAATAGATGCACAGGATCCAGACAATGCTCCCTCTAAGCCAGTGGTGGCAAACCTATGGCACGGGTGCCAGAGGTGGCACTCAAAGCCCTCTCTGTGGGCACGGGTGCCATCGCCCCAACCAGGCCCAGACCATCATTAAAGTGTCGAATTCTCTGCCAAATAATTTGAAGTAAATGAAAGCATTTGGGATTGCTTTCCTTACTTTGTTTGGATCATCTTAAGTTAATGTATGAGTGGTTTTTTCCTAAAGTAAAACCTCCGTATTCAAGTTAAATGGCCGTGTTGGCACTTTGCGATCAATAAGTGGATTTTGGGTCACAATTTGGGCACTCAGTCTCTAAAAGGTTCGCCATCACTGCTCTAAGCTGTGGAGCCTTGTGAGCAAAAATTCTACTTTGTGAGCTGCTGGCATTAAAGTTGCGAGTGAGCCATTTGGCTACTGCATCAATTAGTTTGCTCTGGCACCATCCTTCCTGAGCTAAAATAAAAATCTGTGAGCCGGGGGCTAAAAAAACTGTGAGCTAGCTCACACTAACTCAGCTTAGAGGGAACACTGGGTGGGGCTGAGAGAGCTCTGACAGAAACGGCTCTTTTTCAAGAACACCTCTGACAGAACAATGGCTTGCCCAAGGTCATCCAGCAGCTGCATGTGAAGGAGTGGGGAATCAAACCCGGTTCTCCCAGATTAGAGTCCATGCACTTAACCACGACACCAAACTGGCTACACCAAACAGCACCTGCACGGAATGACTTAACTCCCTCTCAGCACAGTTTTCCTGTGGGCAAATGGCTTGCGGGGGGTGGAGCCCTTCTTCCCCTGCCATTCCGAGCCTGCTGGGGAACCCGGACCCATTTCGAAACTGTAATGTTTACTTTGGCCCTGAAGTTAAAGCATTTGTGGGATTAAGAGCCCTGAAGGGGGGGCGGAATGGTGGAAATCCTTAGACTCACCTCACCCACACTCTTCATAGAGCTTCCGATCTTGCTGGAGGCGCCTTGGAAACGGTCCAGATCCCAACGTGGCACCTTTGTGACAATGTAGTCCAGGCTTGGCTCGAAGCAGGCCGTTGTCTTTCCTGACACCACGTTTTCAATTTCCGGCAACGGAATCCCAAGGGCGATTTTGGCAGCAATAAATGCCAAAGGATACCTGGCACCGACACACAAAGATGAACTGCTTTTCAGTGTGCAGGCTGGTGGTTTGCCGTACACAGTGACGACTTTTTAATCCTTAAGAATCCCACACTGCACTGTGAAGACGCGGTTCATTAACACTGTACATACAAGCACAACGTATCCAATAAATACAGCTTTAGGCCTGGTTTACACAGGTAGGAGAATAAGAGGGAAAACACCACCATGGGAGAACAGACCACACCATGATGGACTGAGGGAAACGGATTCCAATTCTGAATCCTCTTTGGCATTAGAGAAATTGGGAACTCTCTGCAAATAGAAAACTAGCTCAGCAGCACTGGCTCTTTGCCTCCTGTGCTGGCTTTCTAACTGCAGTGAATTTTTATTGTAGGGGAACCTTTCAGAATGGCGTCTGTAGTCTGATGCGGCACATTTCATTCTAAACCACCACCACCCCATCATTTCACCTCCTCCTTCTCTCGCATGCATAAATCAGGCCTCGGACGCGGTTCCTGACTAGCGTGCTTGCTACTTTCTCGCGAATGGATCTCACACTGCCTCTGGAATGCCTGAAGGGTGGAAATACTGTGAGATTAGCAGATTATCTAAAGGTTATTCATCTCCCCCTAGCTAGGCTGCTTAAAATTGCATGGGAAATAGTCATGTGATCCTGGTGACCACGCGTGTTTCCACTCGGACCACAGACAGAGGGCCCAGCCACTGGGACGCTGCCACTGTATAAGGCCAATAAGGTACAGAAAGTGTTAGAAAGGGACAAGCTCATTGTCATGAAGACGCTGATTACCACCTTCCCCCCCCCTCGCATTCTCTTTCCAGTTCAGTCACAGGTGAGGCTTGGCAACCCATTTATGGCTTCTGTATAGGTTGGCAACTCATCAGCTATGGTGGCAAACTCCCACTACGACCACCCCACCCCGGCCTCTGCCACTGCTTGAATGAACAGGACAAAGAACTTGAGATGGGGGGGGGAGAGAATGACGGATCGTTGCCAATCTTACCCCTTTGCCGAATGGCACCTTGCTCACATCATGAGCAAAGCGATCGCAGCAGAACATAGCAGGAGAGGTTGTCAATTTCCCCGGTGTCGTGTACCTGGTTTGGTTCCTCTCCAAGTTTCTCGCCTTACCCGGTAGCCTTCGACGCCAAGGCGGAGCTCCGAGAGAGCCGGGCGTTCACTTCAATGATGCAGTACTCCAGAGAACTGGGATGCAGGGCATACTGGATGTTGCACTCTCCGACGATGTTCAAGTGGCGGACAACCTTGATGGTCGATTCCCGTAACATCTGCAGCTCTTTGTTGGAGAGGGTCTGGCTGGGGGCTACGACGATGGAGTCTCCTGTGGGTTACAGCGAAATGGTCCAAAGCCCTGCTGGGGGAGGCCTCTCCTCGCCGGCATCGCCAAGACAGCCTCCCGCATATTGGACAACACTCACCCCATGACTTTCTTTTGGACGTCAGAGTTGTTAATTAGGGCTGGTTGCCTATCTTGCAAAAAGCTCCTCCCCTGCCCCGGATTTTGATAGTCTTTCAGCTGCTCCTGGACTCTTGCTCTTTTTCTACTGCTACAGACGGACTAACACGGCGACCCGTTTTGATCGATCTGAAGATGTAAGCAGTGACTCCCGAAAGCGCCTACCCTGCCACATATTTTGGTCCTTTCCGCACTTGGATCTCATCCCTGGTTTTATCAGAGTTCAGCTCGCGACACAATGCCTTGCATTTAACCCTGGTTACAACGGTCCTTTCCGCACTAGACCTTAAGTCCTGGTTCAACCCCGTCCCCGAACTTACATTCTACACGACACTCGAGTTCACCTCTGTAATTATCTAGGGGTATTTTTTGTTTCCTCGTTACATCAAGGTCACCCCAGTTTCACCCCACACTTGTCCCAGGATAAGCAGATGCTGTTACAACCAGGGATAAATGCAAGGAGTATTGTGTTGCGAGTTGAACTCTGATAAAACCAGGAATGAGGTCGAAGTGCAGAAAGGATGAAGAGCATTCATTTATCCTGGGGCAAGTGTGGGTCGAAGCTGATAAAACCAGGAATGAGGTCCAAGTGCAGAAAGGACGAACAGCATTCATTTATCCCGGGACAAGTGTGGGTCGAAGCTGGGGTGGACTCAATGTAATGTGGAAAGAAAAAATACCCCAAGATAATTACAGGGGTGAACTCAAGTAAAGTGTAGAATGTAAGTTTGGGGGCAGGGCTGGCCCAGGATTTAAGATCTAGGGTGGAATCACCCTTTGTCTTTCAGGTGTTCCTGGACTCTGGCTCTTTTCCACTGCTACAGACAGACTGACACGGCGACCCATCTTGATCTATTTTTATTTACTTCATTCATAGCCGGTGATAACCCATTTTTTCTGTCCAGTGGGAACCCAAAGCAGCTTACATCCCTCTCCTCTCCTCCATTTTATCCTCACAACAACCCTGCAAGGTAGGTTAGGCTGAGAGTGTGTGACCCAAAGTCACCCAGCAAGCTTCTATGGTGAAGTGGGGACATGAACCCAGGTCTCCCATATGCTAGTTGGACACGCTAACCACTCCACCACACTAGCTCTCGCTTCAAGGTGCTGGTGCTTACCTTTAAAGCCCTTTATGGTCAGGGGCCTGCCTACCTGAAGGACCGCCTTTCCTCACATGTTCCCCAGAGAGCACTGTGGTCAGGATCCCAAAATCGTCTGGCCCTTCCGGGCCCCAAAGACGTCAGGCTGGCATCAACTAGAGCCAGGGCCTTTTCAGTGGTGGCTCCGCATTGGTGGAACGAACGGGGCTCTTCCACCGGGCCTTTAGTTAAGGAGCCGCACCCAAAGCACTAAGGCCCTGTGCCCAATACCACCACCGACAGCCTGAGCTTCGCCGATTCTAACATCAAATACCGACTGCATTTACTAGTATGTCGATGCTACCCTGCTTTTGCCATTGCTGTTTAAATTGTTTACTAGCACCTTATGTTGTGTTTTTAAGCTTTTACCTGTATTGTTTTAGCCACTGCATTTTATGTAAGCCACCCAATCCTGCTTTGGCGGGGAGGGCGGGGTACGGATCAAATAAATAGATAAAAAATAAAGCATAATATAGATTATAAATATTAACCAGAAGTGCTGCTAATATTTGTTTTACTGGGATTTCAAGGTACATTATGGCTGCTACTATCCAAACGTAATCCAATCCACCTTGAGTTCCCTGTCTCTTTTTAGCGAACTTAGACTTGACAAAGTCACCGCCAGGAACAGCTGCATTCTGTATTCTTAGGCGTCAATTGTGCCTGAGTACCAGACCGATGATTAATTCCTTTTTTTATATTCCTGCAGCTGTTGGCAGGGCTATTGATGACAGAAACACCACTCATCCCCAGTATATGAGCTTCCGATGAAGGTTGTGGAATCTCAGTCATCAGAGGTTCTCAGAGAAGAATCGTAGAATCACAGAATTCTGGGCATGGAGCAGAGGTCACTGGTGGTTTGGGGGGGAGGTATTTGTACATTTCCTGCCTTGTGAAGGAGGTTGGACTAGATGCTACCCTGCTTTCGCCATCGCTGTTTAAATTGTTTACTAGCACCTTATGTTGTGTTTTTAAGCTTTTACCTGTATTGTTTTAGCCACGGGAGGTGGTGGGCTCTCCTTCTTTGGAGGTTTTCAAACAGAGGCTAGATGGCCACCGGACAGCCATGCTGATCATGTGAACTTGGGCAGATTATGAGAAGGAGGGCAGGAAGGGTTGCTTCAGTGCTTAGTTCTCGTGGCCCTTTCTTACACGCCCAGGGAAATGCTGGTCGCCATTTTGGGGTCAGGAAGCAGTTTTTCTCCAGGCCAGTTTGTCTGGAGAACCTGGAGGTTTTTTTGCCATCTTCAGGTGGCCATCTAGCCTCTGTCTGAAAACCTCCAAAGAAGGAGAGCCCACCACCTCCCGAGGAAGCCTGTTCCACCGTGGAACCACTCTAACTGTCGGGAAGTTCTTCCTAAGGTTTAGCCAAAAACTCATCTGATTTAATTTAATTTAAGAGAGCCAGTTTGGTGTAGCGGTTAAGTGCGCGGACTCTAATCTTGGAGAACCGGGTTTGATTCCCCACTCCGCCACTTGCAGCCGCTGGATGACCTTGGGCAAGCCACCAACACCTGGTTAACAAACAAGGCACAGTTCTGCAAGGGCTGTCCTTGAATGGGCAGTTCTCTCAGAGCTCTCTCAGCCCCACCTACCTCACAGGGTGTCTGTTGTGGGGAAGGGAAGGGAAAGGCCTGATGGCACCTGGTATTTCTGGCCACTGTGTGACACAGAGTGTTGGACTGGATGGGCCTTTGGCCTGATCCAACATTGGCATCTCTTATGTTCTTAAAGCATATCCTTGGTAACCAGTCATGGTTTCCTATCAGCTACAGTCAATGCCTTGGATCCAGTTCAGCATTCCCAGGGATGGAAAGATTAATTAATTAATTTAAACATTTATTAGCCGCCTCTCCTCCTTAAGGATCTCCAGGTGGCTTACCATCTAAACACATTACATAAAATAGACCACACAAAAGCAAAATTTGAAAACCACAGTGCAGCGCTGATTTAATCAAAGGCAGTCCTAAATGAAACCGTCTTCAACTGCCTCCTAAAGATCAAAAGCGGAGGGCCGAGACCAATGCTCCCTCTAAGCCGTGGAGTCTTGTGAGCAAAAATTCCACTTTGTGAGCTACTGGCATTAAAGTTACGAGTGAGCTATTTGGCTACTGCATAAACTAGTTTGTTCTGGAGCCACCCTTCCTGATCTCAGACAAAAATGTATGAGCCAGAGGCTAAGAAACTTTGAGCTGGCTCACACTAACTCGGCTCAGAGGGAACGCTGCCCCAAACACACCTCCCCGGCGAGGTTGTTCAATAATTGTGGGGCTACCCCTGAAAAGTCCGTCTCTCGTGTACCCACCCAAACCAGCTTCTGTGATTGATGTGACAATCGAGAGGACATTTCCCTGCGATCTTAATCCCCAGGCAGAAATCTACGGGAGAAGATGGTCCTTCCAATACCCCAGTCCAGTGTTCCCTCTAAGCTGAGTTAGTGTGAGCCGGCTCAGTTTTTTTTAGCCTCCGGCTCACACATTTTTGCCTTCACTCAGGTAGGAGGGCTCCAGAAGCAAGTTAATTCATGCAGCAGCCAAATCTCTCGCTCACCACTTGAGTGCCAGGAGCTCACGAAGTAGAATTTTTGCTCACAAGCTTCCACAGCTTAGAGGGAGCACTGACCCAGCCCCAAGCCGCGTAAGCCTTTAAAGGTCAAACCAAACACCTTGAATTGGGCTTCGGAGCAGGTCAGCAGCCAGCGTCATTGCTATAATATCAAGGTTGCGTCCCCCCCCCCATAGCTGGCCCCAAACCGCAGTCTAATGGCTGCATTCGCTCCCAGAGCGTGATTCTCTTTCCTTGACAATTCATGCTTCAAAGGAAGGGAGGAGATGAGAAAAAAATGCACCCTCCAGGTGGGAATCCTTCTGTCCCCGGAAATGCTGAGCCTGGCCCGAGCATGCGTCCCCGTGCCATTCCGGTGTTGTGCAACTGACGCCACGGTCACGCCAGCCACCCCCCTACCTGTGTGGACTCCCATGGCGTCGACGTTTTCCATACTGCAGACCGTGATGCAGTTGTCGGCAGCATCTCTCACCACTTCGTACTCAATCTCCTTCCATCCGACCAGCGATTTCTCCACAAGGAGTTGGTTCGTCATGGCAAAAGCCTTGGGGGTTGAAGGGCGGAGATTAAAAAAAAAAAAGAAATGTTGGGGTTTTTTAAACTGCCCCCAAAGTGGCAGGGTTTTATTACATTGTCCACATAACATACACAAACAATCATAACATATGCATACATATACATACATACTAACAGTACAAACAGATACATGGAGGTTATTTTCAATTTTACCCATATTTATACTGATGCCTATTCCACCTTAATAACAATTTCTCATGAACTGTGTAAGCAACTTTTCTGTCCCTATCATCCTAACAGGTACATATTTCTTTTAGTAAACTCTTAGTCTGTCTCTCAAGCTTGCCTACATATATTTATCATACCAATTACAGAACCGTGACCAAGTATTCTGGAATGTTGAATCTGTTGCACCTTTTATCAATAAAGTCAATTTATCCAATTCCACAGCCTCCACGATTTTATTTACTAGTAAAGAAGGTCCCAGGTTCAATCCCCGGCATCTCCAGTTAAAAGGGCC